ATTCTATTTCGTATTCTGGTTCATCAAAAATAACACCACCGATGGTATGCTGATGTTTGTCAAGATCAGTGCTTATAATATATGGTCAAGATTAATTGCATTCAGTGTTCATCGTTATTCGAAATTATAATGTAGCAAGTGCCCAATATACAAATGTTTTTTCGCCTACGTTTGTAAAGCCCAGGGAACACAGAGACGTGATTATAAACGTGTCTATAACGCATTTTTTTTTTAATTTCTCGACTCGTGGGAAATGGTACATGTGAATGAGATCAGCACGATTTGCTGACTTTTGGTTTGCCCTATACCTTTTTGCGACGATATTGAAAAACTGCGTGGAATCTCGATAATTTTTTTTATCGGTGTTCAGCTTTCCAAAGCAGATATAGAGAAGGAAGTGGATGTCGGTGATCGAGTTCGTGCTTCTTGTTTTCATATTGTGCGAGATGCTGTTTTCCGGGGAGACAATGGCCAACAATTTCTGATCGTGGATATTTCCTTTTTTCTGTGTGGTGCATAAAGAAGGGGGCGTCCTTTTTTCCCGGATTTTCGCCCTTTTTCGGGGATGAGGATGCGATATGAAGTCGTGTTGGTCGTCGGGATTTTAGGTGAGAATTTGTTAGGTGATGTTTTGTGTTCACATGTCACCATAGGACACGCGTATGTTTCAATAAAATTACGTTCAGTATTTTAATCTACATCGGTGTGGGTTGCTGCAAATTTTATTTCGATGAAAAATAATCAATATATATAATAACGTTTGAAAAATATACCACCATACGCCAAAGAAGGGGACATGAATTCAATATTTAAACTTAATGTTTTTAAATATTTTGTTCCCTTCTCTTTATTCCAACAAATCATGATGATAGCAATTTTAAAAGCTGAATTTTGATTGGCGGAATGGACGCGTTATTTTAGAAACGTTAATCTTTTGACAACTTATCGACTTTATTTCGTCTCAAATTGTTATTGATATTGAAGTTCAAAGGACACGATATTTTTCACGGCAAATATTAGGGTTTCTGTCAGCAAGGACAAAAGCGCGGAACTCGCTATGTCCTTACGACACCACGATCACTACAGTACCGGAACTTCTGCGGTACTTGTCGCATCGCGGCGACTTGCTCAACTGGATTTTCGGTGACCTGAGGTACGTGGGTAACCTGACACGAATGGACGCGGCCCCGGATGCTCTGGCTGCATGTTACGGGGAATGCATGGCCTGCTCCACGACGCTGTTCTTCCTTCGAAGGTGATGCACATTCTTCTTACCAGCAATGATGATACAATGAATAACTATAAAATAAATTTAAATTATGAAGGAAAATTAAGTCTCCCATATGCAGCACTGGGTACATTTTCAAAATAAAGAATCCCGCGTACCATAAAAGGTTTGACGCAATAAAAGGCTTCAATTTTTTTTCCGTGAAAAAATGCCGCACAAAATATTCCGCGTCCCACATACAGTACAAAAATCGTACGAATCCCATAAACTTATGAATTTGAAAAAAAAGAAGTCATAATGCATTCTTGCGTCGTTCCCGGCTTTGATATTGTTTTGTGGGGCTTCTTTTTTGCGATTAAAAATTGATTGAAGATTTATATTCGCATGATTTATGCATACAAAAAACAAGGCCCACATCAGAACACCTGAAGAAAATGGACTGACAAAAATTCAACTTTTTTTCGAGTGATTTCATGTCCATTGCATCACCATATGTGATGCAAAAGTGCTGTGAAAGGTGTCATTTGAATTGCGAGTCAGACAATATTTTTCGAGCGATGCCTTTCTGAGAAATTCTTATGCCGGCTCTCATTTAGACGTCTGTGCCGAATTTTACACAGGAATTCGCATTTTATTCGTTGCAGATCTCGTGCTCGAAAGAAAATCTAATTTTCAAAAAAAAAAAAATGAGCCAAACCGGCTCTTTGTCTGAAATTTTTCTCTTTTTATCAAGTCATCAACAGGGATAAAATGTCTTAGTCCTGGATTTTGGAATAAAATTATGAAAACGTGAATGTAACTGAAGGACGTTTTGCTCAACATTTACTCGTGTCACCTTCGTCTCCATCACATGGCTCCGCGTATAGAGAGACTTTAGTTCCATTATTTACTGTATTATTTATCTCAAAATTGTTCAATGCATCGATTGTTTCATCCCTGTCCAGATTTATCGAGAAGAACGTTCCG